AAAATAATAATAAGGGTCAAAAACATTTTAAGAGCCAATGCTAATCTGATCTAATATGCTCTTGCCTAAAACCCTCAGGAGCCTCCCATGACTCTCATACCTTAAACCCATCCCTCTCTAATTTGCCTTCCTGCCAAATCAAGTCAGTCATCTTCTTGCTTTCTTCTCTGCTCCCTTCACCTGCTTCCCTCTTCCACATCTCTAGGACTTAGTTCAGTGGTCCCTCCTTCCAAGAAGTCTTGTTGTACCAGAAAAGTGTTTCACAGTCAAGGTATGTTTGTAAAAATCTAGATAATACAAAGTTAAATAGACTTCTGAATGGCATAACTTTTTAGGGCTTGTAATTGGCAAATGCACTTGTAATTATCGAAAGAAAGTTAAGAAATGTAGTGTCCAGTGTGTCCAAAACTTCACCATGCACAGCACTCTTCTGTTTTGGCACATCCTGAAGGACTAGGTTACCCAGAACATCCTTGGGAAACTTGGAGCTTGTTCATTTCCCAAGTGTTTGTGAAGGAATCTGTGTTAGCAGGGAGAAGGTGAGGGGTCATTTGAGGGAAAGAAAGGGTAACAAGTGAAAGTTGAAGATGGGATGAAGCGTGGTTTGGGGGAGCTGGATCATGCAGAGGGGCGTGAGTTGGGATCAGGACTGGGAACCAGTTCAGCCTCCACTGTCCTGAGGGATGGGAGATAGCTGGCCTGCAGGAAGGCAGTAGCTAATCTTAGGTGGAATGGTAAACTCTAGTCCTTCATACTTGGGGTCATTTCAACATGTGTGCTCTAAAAGGGGCCCGTGTCCTGGTTGAGATGAGACTATAAAAGGTCCAGATGGCCTGGAGACTAGATGACATGGGGCCTACTCTCAGACTTCTCTGTCTCAGAAAGCTAATAAGAGTTGTCATCCAAGCTTAACAGGAGACAAATTTTACAGAGCAATTGCTATGTGTTGGGCACTAGTCTAAGGGCTTTGTGTTACTACTTGTTTAATCTTCAGAGCAACCTGCTAAGGTAGGTATTGTAATTATTGTCCCTACTTTAAAGGTGAGGAAACCAAAACAACTAGTAAGTGTTGTTCTAGTTATCTATCAAGGTATCATAAGGCACGTTAGAGCTTTGTATTTGGAATAGCAACCGTTTTATTATACACATCATGATTTTGTAGGTGAGGAATCAACTGGGTGATTCTTCTGTCCCAGGTAGTGTTGACTGGGGTTATTTGCTCTTATTCAGCTGAAGACTGCATTGCATTGGTCTGTAGGGCCCATGAAGGCTTCACTCACCTGCCAGGTGCTTTGATGGGAAGGGCTGTAAGACTGGGCTCAAT